GCCTTCCTACCCTCAAGCAGATCAACGCTGCCACCAACTTGGTTTCATCTGCAAATTTACTAAGAATGACCTCAATCCCTATGTCCAGATCATCTATAAAGATGTTGAACAGCACTAACCTCAAAACTGAGTCCTGGGAAATCACCGCTAGTGACAGGCCACCAACTGGATTTAGCTCCATTGACCACAACTCTCTGGGCCCAGCCATCCAGCCAGTTTTTTACCCATCAAAGAGTTCGCTTATCTAATCTGTGAGCAGCCAATTTATTTAGGAGGATGCTGTGGGAGACCGTGTCAAAGGCTTTACTGAAGTCTAGATGGACAACATCCATAGCGTTTCCCTCATCTACTAAGCAGGTCACTTTGTCATAAAAGGAAACCAGACTGGTCAAGCAGGACCTTTCTTCCATAAATCCATGTTGGCTGGCTCTGATCCCCTGATTTTCCTGCATGTGCTGTGCAATGGTACTCAGGATGATCTCTTCCATAACCTTGCCCAGAACTGAGGTCAGGCTGACAGGCCTGTAGTTCCCTGGATCATCTTTCTGACCCTTCTTGTAGATGGGCATTACATTTGCTAACTTCCAGTCTGCTGGAACTTCTCCTGTTAACCAGGACTGCTGGTAGATGATTGTGAGAGGTGTGGCAAGTTTTTTTGCCAGTTCCCTCGTTACTCTGGGGTGAATCCTATTGGGGCCTGTAGACTTAGGAGAGTCTAACTGGCACAGCAAATCGCTAACCATCTCCTCCTGGATTATGGGGGCTTCACTCAGCTCCCTGTCCTTAACTTCCAGCTCTTTGCCTTCTGATGCCTGCTTTGCTGAATGTAGGACAAAACCATAGCAGATTGTGTGTGATGGTGGTTATTTCTTATTCTTAACTATATATAATAGTTTCCAGAAGTTGTGTCTGAGATGGGACTTATTTCTCCCAGTTAATGCATAAGCACATAGCAAGACCAAGCTCCTTGGAAGTCTTATGTTCTGAACAAGCAAAATAAGTTTATCTTGATAATAATCACCATTAATGTTTTTTAAATATTGGGGAAAAATTATTAAGCAGATGCTTTTTAATAAATTCAAGCACTGTATCTCTCTCTTGCAGAATAAAAAATCTGGCAGAGATAACAGGGCTAGTAATACCTTGACTTGCTGTCTGTCTGGCTATATCCAAAACTACCTTTTGATTATTTTCTCGTATGTTTAGGAGTTAGTGTTCCTTATTGATGTAGTCTGAACACTGTTCAGTAGAGTCAGGACACATACTCTATCAAGCATAATCAGAGTGTTAATTAGAAATTACAGATTACAGAGACAGCTTCAAAATCTTTACTTCTACCTAGAACTGTTAGGAGCTGACACTGTCCTGCTGCTGTCCAGGTAATGGAATTTAAACCTGAAAGCAATTTTGTTTTAATTGGCTTTTGTGCTTTGTATGCTGTGGCATAGGCACTGTGAAAGGAGAAATGTAAAGTAGCTGTTTTCAGCCTTTTTGCAGTTCAGGTTATGAACACGTTCTGAAACAAATTCTGTTTTCCATGAGGTAAATGTATTTGAAGATGAGGCTGGAAGAAAAGTGACGTTACTGTGTAGCTGCACATGCTGAAAAATTCACTTGATATGACTTGACTCTTCTATGTGAAAGAGCATTAATAAATAAGTTTACTGTTTAGGATTATCTGATGGCATTGTCTCTACAACAAGAGCAGCAAAATCAAGATATTAACTGGGAACAGATCCCAGAAGGAATCAGTGATCTAGAGCTGGCAAAGAAGCTCCAGGAAGAGGAGGACAGGAGAGCTTCTCAGTATTATCAGGAACAAGAACAAGCAGCTGCTCAGGTCCAGGTAAGAAAGTATTATTACAGAATATGATCATGAGTTTTAGAGAGTATTAACTTAGTGGTTTCATAAACACATCTGCGTTTGTAAGTATTTCAGACTGATAAGACTGCTGTTCACATTCCATACAGCAAGTGACAAGATGAATATAGGAATCTTAAGAAATATGCTATAATTGTTGGAGTGTGCATGCAGATTTGGCAGTTGCTGCTACTTAAATACTTTAAAGTAGACTTAACCTTCTAAATTAGGGTTTCATTCATGCTATTTAAGTTGGAATAATGGGATGAGTTAATATGTAAGGTTACAAAGATTGTATTAGCTAATATTTTACTTGCAAAATAGCATTCAAATAAGAACTTTTTGATAGTAGTCGAAGCTTTGTCTTGTAGAAGTTCGTTGCTGTACATTTTTAGGTGTTTCAGTCTATGATTTCATGTGAATTATTCAGTCCTGTTTCATATTAGGAAATCAAGAGTTTCTCCCAGTATACCTTTCTGTCCCATTCCCATAAGCAGTTGCATTCAAAATGCTTGGAAAATGTGATTCATGCATATGTATATACAAGATAGCCATATAACTGAATCTTGTGTGCAAGAGGCAATATTTAAGTTGGTGTTCTGGAGTCAAGGAGTTCTTAACTGCCGAAGACTTTTAAAACTGCTTTTATTTACAAATATGTAGTAAATAATCTGTATGAAAGCTGAATCTTTGATGGCCCCAAACAATTCAGAACTGTTAACTGATGTGCTTGTTAAGCATGAAACAAGAATTTTGACAATTAAGTTGTGTTATTTCCACTGCTTGTTGCTTTAATAGAATCATCAGTAGCTCCTTCTAAGACAAAGATTCACTACTGCTGGCTGCAAAAAGGTAGAAGGAACTGAAGAACCTGCTTAACAGCATGCTCATTTGCCGCTATGAATGGATAACAGCTGGAATAGTTGAATTAACAAAACTTATGTTGTCTTTGTATACCAACCCCCTTGCCAAATTCTTAACTAGTTTCTAATCACAAAAAGCTGCTGCTTTGCCATATCTAGCTGTCAAAACCAACACTTTCGCTCTGCAACTTCTGAAATGTGGATCCTGTTCTTATAAAAGAAACTAGGGAAGAATTCCAGTCCAGTAATATAGAAGTGCCAGAAAATGCTTGAAGCCAAATTTTATTATTGAAACAACTGATCTGGATATATGGACACAATAGAAGGGACACACAGGACTTGAAATATATTTTCAGCTGACTTCATTTTTCAGAAATAAGAAGTTTTGTGGCAGTTCTGGAGTATTTATACAAAAAGATCCTACCTGAATTCTGCTGTTTATATAATAGTTAAACTTTTGTTAGTAAACTTGAACACAGAGTAATACTTCAGCCTGCATCAACAATAATTTTTGTTTTATTCAAGATTTTATTTTTTCTACATAGCAGGTGCAAGGCGCTGCTTCTCCAGCAAGCGGAAGACAATCTGGGAGTAATGAACGCAAACGGAAAGAGCCTCGAGAGAAAGAGAGAGAAAAAGAGAAGAATAGCTGTGTTCTCTTGTAACAGAAAATTGATTTAGTCTGGAGCCAAGTGCATGTCCTCAGAAGCAAAAACAAGGAGTAAAAAGGAAGACAAACCCGTTACATGCCGCCTGTGCCTGATTACCCCATGGATTTTATTCGTGTTTCACTAAAGGATGGGTGACTTTGTTACAATCATACAGACTTTCCTCAAAGTCAGTGTGCGCAAGATGGAATTCCAAACCACAGTTGGACATGGCTGTACTTTGAGTTAGTCATAAGAAATACTGCACCTTGTAGCTGAACACACAAATCATGGCAAGTTTTGTGTCATAGTGACATCCATTACTCATTACATCAGTTAGTAAGCTATTTTATCTTCTACTTTAAACAAAGCAGGTAATTCATTTTGTGTAAGGCTTTTTTTTTTCCTGAAGTCTGTACACTAGCACAACACAGTTCTATGTTACTTATGTGGTATGAAACTATATCTTCACGACACAAGAGCCCAAATAACAGCTGGGCACTGCCTCCTCAGTGTGTCCAGATTTCTTTGCTTCTGGATCTGGTATGTTTGGTTTTTTGAACCCAGATTTATACTGTGTTACTGCTATCATTGCACCTCCTGGCCAGCTTTCTTGCCCCCAAAATATGTGACTTGATAGGCATCATACAAAAAATTGTCACAGAAATGGGGCATTTATTAAGCAAGATGAATATTGTTTGCTTTTCTTGCAATTACAAACTGGGTATGGCAACTCAGATGTTATCAGGGTTAAACAAGTATTTTATAAGTAACTTCTCTTTCTTTTAGTATTTTTTCTCTTGTAGGTAAACTGGACCAGATAAGTTCTTATTTATTTACCTCTCCATATGATACGTGAATGATGAGAGGAAACTAAGGTCTATAGTAATCATTATTCTATGTAAGAATGCAGAGTTAAAATAACTAACTGTCTGCCTTTTTTCCAGAAGTACCTTGAACTTTAACATGACGTTAACATGTCCACTTGTATATTTAAACAAGTGTACTGTAGTTAAAAACACATTTTTTTTGTTTGTTTTATAAATCATGTATCCTTAAAAAGCACATTTCTGAAGGGTGAGAGAGAAGTGAGGTTGTTCTCTGAGATTGTTTAGAAAGGTGGTCAGGTGTAATATTTTGTTTTTTAAATCACTAATTTAGAATTTTTGGAAACCAGATTTTTCTAATTTATGGGAACCAAATAAACATGTTGCGTCTTGTAGAATTTATAGAATACAGAAACAGAATACTTGCTGAATTTTGAGGGAAACACAAATCTTCCGTTAAGTCAATAACAATTACTTTCTTGCTGAACCTTTTTGATAAAAATTTATATTTAGCAATTTGTAGATAGTTTTGAAAAAGGCTGCTTCTCCTGGACAAGTTATGTATTCATGCTCTAAGCCTGGGTAAGTGCATTAGTATACAATAATCTGGGAAAGCTAAGGTAGCCAGGTGGAATATGACATTCCTGGTTTCAGGTGTTTGGAGAATGTCTGTAAGAGAGAGGGTGTCTAAACACAAGTCCACTGGTAAAAAGCTGCTTTAAATTTATTTCAAGCAGACTTGCTGCAGTGATGGGAACCAGTCATCACATAAATCTGTTACGAACCTAGAATGGAAATTAGATGGATAAAGGAAGAATGTCTTATTAACTAAAGGGCCAGTTTATATCACTTTATTCTTCCATGCCTTTTTCTCTTTTTTTTTTTCCACTTTTGTTACAGTTTCTCTTTTATAATAATGAAGTAATGAATGGTAGGAGGTCTCTAATACGCAAACTGTAAACTTAAAAATTTCTGTATTCTCTAGAAAAGTCATGCCCAGAAAAGTAATTTTAATCCTTAATGTATGGAGTTCAGATAATATTCTACGTCAAAGCAAAGGCTGACATATTTTTTCCTTTGCAGCAGCCTAACTTCTTCAAACAAATTAATGTGATGGAGGATCACCGACATAATGACTTACCTACTTTAAGCAGATCAGAAAATATTCCAATAGTGTCAATAACAAAGACTTTAAGCCAGAATGCTGTTTAAAAACATTCTGTTACTAAGATTTTTCCAAATTTGTGTATTTACATTTATTTATTGACCTTGAACAATAAATATGTCGAGCTAAGTGTTTGTTATCTTATTATTTTCAGTGACAGTATTGCCACTTTAAATTCATTTTTGAACAAATCTAGCTGGAGCAGGCATTGTGGCTATTGAGTATATATTTTTGCCTAAGATACTCGCTCATATTAGAAGAATTAATGTAACATTTCCAGTTTCAGACAGATGTGCCTGAAACCTAATACACTGTAGTTACAGTAATATTGTCATTTGGTCACAAAGGAAGAAGAACTAAATGTCAATGTTCATCGTGAAGTCTGAACTCCCACATAATTCAGTTTCTCATTCAATGAAGGAGTAAAGTGTTTCAGGTTATTTGAGATGGCAGGCATGCTATTCAAAGAGTTTTCTGTTAATATCCTTTTTTCTTTACAGGTCCTGGAAAAAAGGTAAAGAATTCCTGAAATCTAGGGCTTTGTTTTGCATGAGTTGAGCTTGTTAGCAGCAAAAATTATAAGCAGATGAGCTTGCTAATATCCAAAATTAAATACATCTGGAAGCTTAATTTATACCGTACTGTGACTAACCGTTCCAAAAGCAACTATCACAGTTGTATCTATGACAGTATCTGATGATCAAAAAAAACTGAACAGAATTGCTTTTATCTGTAATAGTAAGCTTGGAAAACAGTATTACAAAATATTCATTGGAGTACCAGAAAGACAATGTCTGCTTCTGACTGTTCACTTCATTTGCCTCTTTTTTGAAGCTCATGTTCTGGTGAAATGGTACAGATTTATACTTTAAATCTGTTTATATAATTTAGCATGCACATGCTCCAAATACCTACATAATACATCTGAAAGTGTCCAGAAAAGTAGACTAGAACTTCTTTTCCACTAGATAAAAGCTAGCATGGAAAACGGAATCATAGAGTTTTTGTTCTTGCATTGTAGTTGTGAAATAAAAAAAGCTAAATACAGGTATTCTTAAAATTAGCAAAAAATTGAGTGCTGCCGTAGCGATAACTGTTTTTCTAAAAGGCACTTTTGTAAATGCTCAAATATACCACTTTTCTTGTGACATTCATATGGACTCTGCAACCCAACAAAGCAGATCCAAAGGAAGATTGTAACACCAGAGGATGAAATTAGCATTCCTGAAAATTCACTTAAACACAATGCAAAAAATATATTTTGTAGCTAGCCATCTAGTTAATATAATAAAGTATGTGTTCAGATTGTCTTTACAGAGCTGCTCTTGTGGATCACAGGCACACAAGCTAAAAGTGAAGCATATGCTCTTCTGTGTACACTTGCAGCGGACTGCCAGTCAATCTCTCTACTCATTTGGTATTTCACATTATTGTCAAATGTTTCTTCAAACTTGTGTATACAAGTTCTTGAAAAAGTTTTCCAGTATATATTAAAAGGCAATTCGAGTTCTTGAAACTGCATCTTTTGGTGTATTCAGAGCAGGAAACTCTAGAGTAAAAGGTGAAGCTGATGCACTTTTAACTGAACCTTTCTTCTTTCCTGCTACAATAGATCTATAACCCAAAGCTACTCATACTTAAATCGGCTTTCTTACCATTAGGATGCTTATCATAGTCAGTTGCTGAAGTTTATACAAAGTACATCCTTAAATACAACATACTGAATTAACAGCTGTATTTATTTTATATAAAAGTAGACTTTTTTAAGGTTGTAACCTTAAACAGCAGGTGATTCACAAAATGCAAGTTAATTGATGCAGTATCCTCATTAGAAAGCATATTAGAGAAAAGCAAAAATAACAAGTCTTTGGTTGCAATATAATGCTCACATTTTTTCCATTTATACTACTATGATAACAAGACCTTGGTAACAAGAAAAAACTGACACTGAAAAATGTTCATATAGTCCAATGATAGCAAGTGTCACAGGAACTTAAACATATGCATCTTCTTTCGTGAGTCAGTGCAGTTACGTGGTTTTTAACCATAACTAGCAATAGACTGTTAGTGTTGTTTTGAGTGGGAAAATTTGGTGAGATGAATGACACTTTCTCATACAAAATCATTTACACAGAGGTCTATTTGATGTTAATTTCCATAGTGTTTCTTCTGTACAGCTCCTTCTTGTTCACAGCTTGTCCAGTAGAAGAGCAGCGTATTTAAGCTCAACTGTCATCTGCTCTGATGGGGAAGAAGTGTGGCAGGGAAATGCTGAGGAGGAAAGACAGGCTGGAACATGAAAGTCCCTACACCACTTCTTGAGATTGTTTAGGGATTTGTCCTTAATTTTGCTGTTATTTTAGACATAATAGCTGTAGCACAGCATGCAGTTGCCAGATCTTCTCACCTAGGTAATGACCAGCACGCTTAACATCATAGTGGGTTGGCATTGTCTGTCCTGTACACACTCTTCTTCACTGTCATAATGCTTCTAGGTCAAGACTAGCTGTTCTGACTCAAAGTATTTTTACTAAATGTCAGTTGTCTACTGTTCAATTTTGGTCACTATGTCACCTCTTATCACCATGACCTCTCTTTACCTGGAGAGTTAGTCCTAGAGAACTTGCTGAAACGGAAAGTTCTCTACTGCCTTTACAGTTCCTTTTTTGGTTTGTAGGATTACTTGTGCTCATGGAGAAGCTTCATGTGCTGAAAAGAGCAATTCCTTCTTTTGAAGTTAAGAACTTTATCTAGTTAATTATCTTTAGAAGTTAAGATCCTGTGCTTGCCTCTACTTGACAGTACAGAAAAATTTTCATCAAAATGTTGTGAGATTTGGGAAATCCATAGGGAACAATTCAGATAAGTTTCAGTACTCAAATTAACTGAAAAGTTTGCTAGCTTAGTATAAACAGTATGCTTACAAAATAATTTGTTGTAACCATATGATGAAAATAAAGGTGTCTGTTTCTCTAAATGTAATCTGTTGATGAAACATGAAACAGGGCACCGCAAGTGCTTTCATCACTTGTTGAGTCATGCATTTAAGGAAGCAGGTGGTGGTGGTGTGGCTAACAGTCTTGCTGGGGCCAAAAGTGAGTGATACAGTCAAACACTAAGCGAAATGTATATAGATCTGGGGGGTGGACAGGGACACAAACTCATGTAAGTTTTATATATATATATTTTTTAATTAATCTATTGAGAACTGACCTTTAGTTCTGACCCAATTCCAGTTTAGGTCCCATCCCGCTTAAGCGATACGTATTGTGAAACTCATAAATATGGGAAGTGATCTACCAGTGTCTCATGAGATGATGCCTTTAGCTCATACAAACATATACAAACATACAGACTCTCCATCACAGA